TGGGAAGAACAGCTGGACTACAACACTTTGCCATTATGGAGTGACTGTGAAGCAGCTCTTAATAAAAGGTTCCAACATCTATCAGCGGACGAGACCTCTTCTACAAAGCATAAAAAATCAGTGCCAGAGTGTGACCAAAAACCCGGTGTTAAACGGGACAAACGCAGCTTTAAATCCTCCTTTGTCTGCAACAAGCTGAATCAATCCAATGATCCCAAATGCGTATATTGTATGTCTAATATCCATATGATAACGAAGTGTACATCATTTGCTGAATTGCCTGTGTCACAACGGTTCGACGCAGTCAAGGCAATTCCAGCGTGCATAAACTGTTTAAAAAAAGGGCATTCTGTTTCAGCATGTAAATCATCACGTTGCAGAGTGTGTGCGGGACAACATCACACACTACTGCACAAATACACTCCAATTATCCCTCACGCAACTGCAAGTTCTGATTCCGATCGCGTTTTTGTAAATCATAGTGCTACTAAGTGCGACCAGGTAATTTTGGCGACAGCACTAGTTACTGTAAAGAGTAAGTCTGGAGAGTACCGAACAGCCAGAGCCTTACTTGATTCCGGTTCTCAAACAAATTTCATGACCGAGGAGCTTGCACAACTATTGCAGTTAAGAAGGGAAGATGGATGCCTTAATTTAATTGGAATTGGTAAGATAAATACCACAGTTAAGCATAAGTTACATGCGACTGTGAGATCGCGAGTCAATTCTCATGAATTCTCAGCCGATTTTTGGGTATTGCGAACAATATCCACCTACCAACCAAATCATAATATATCTACCGCCAGTTGGAAGATTCCGGCAAACATTGAGCTTGCTGATCCATATTTCTACAAGTCACAAAGAATTGATCTTCTTCTTGGTGCTGAAACGTTTTTCGAACTTCTATCAGTCGGACAAATAAAACAAAGTCCGAATCTCCCCACGCTGCAGAAAACATTACTTGGCTGGACTGTGTCTGGAAAATATCAAAGCAATAGAAATGTTGAGCCCCATGCTAATGCCTTAACTGTTTCACAAGATGATGACACTGTAGTTAGCTCATTGTTGCAAAAATTTTGGGAACTTGAAGAAATTCCCAATAGTGAAAAAACCGCCACGCTCATACCTGAGCACAAACTTTGCGAGGATAAATTCTTGTCGTCAGTGCAACGCTTACCATCGGGGCGATTCAAAGTTTCTCTTCCTTTCAAGTCTGATTCCCGCAACCTTGGGCTATCATTTGAGACAGCTAAGCGTCGTTTCTTGTCACTAGAGCGTAGACTTTCTAAAGATGCTGCTCTGCATGATTTATATATGGACTTTATGAAAGAATACGTAAATCTAGGTCACATGACTTTATCAACTCGCAACTTCTCTGTATCTCCCCACTACTTCATACCACATCAGTGCGTATTAAGACCACAAAGTACATCGACAAAACTTCGTGTAGTCTTCGATGCTTTTTCGAGAACATCAACTCAACTGTCATTAAACGACATATTACTGGTGGGTCCGACGATACAAGAAGAATTGTACACAACGTTGCTCCGTTTCCGTATGCATAAATATGCATTAACTGCTGACATTACTAAAATGTACCGTCAAGTTTTGATTGACGAGGCAGATCGCGACTTTCAACTCATTCTGTGGAGGGAAAGTCCAAACGAAGAATTGAAGACTTACCAATTGAACACTGTGACATACGGAACATCCTCTGCACCATTTTTAGCAACTCGATGTTTACGCCATCTAAGTGATCTCAATCAATCAACGCTTCCAATTGGTTCCAATGTTATTCGAACCGACTTCTATGTTGATGACTTGCTGACAGGTGCAGATTCATTTAATGAACTCGAAACAATTCGAAGGCAAGTCACCCAAATTCTGGAGACAGCTGGGTTCCAGTTAGCCAAATGGTTCTCAAACCACCCCACCTATCAGGACGATAAGCAGTTGAAAAAATCATTGAATATAACCGATATTGATACAACGAAAGCACTAGGCATACAGTGGCATACCACAAAAGATGTGTTTAGGTTTCAGTTGGACGACACTTACCTAAATTTGCGTGCAACAAAAAGAAATATCTTATCGATATCAGCTCGTCTATTCGACCCCCTTGGCTTATTATGCCCAATTGTTGTGAAAGCAAAAATTTTATTGCAAGAATTGTGGTTACAGAAACTTGACTGGGACGAATCCATACCCATGCGTCTTGACACTGCTTGGCAGGCCTTTAAGAATGACTTGAAACAGTTAAACTTAATTTCAATTCCGCGATATGTTAATTTGCATTTTAATGTTAAATGCCAAATTCATGGTTTCGCTGATGCATCAGTGCGAGCATATGGCTGCTGTCTATACGTAAGATGTGAAACGTCAAATGGTTTCAAGTGTGAGTTGCTTACTGCTAAATCAAAAGTTGCTCCTCTGAAAACCAAATCTTTACCTCGGTTAGAGTTATGCGCTGCACATCTGCTTGCTAAATTGTGGAATAGAATCCGTGTAATGTTCCATCACAACATCGACGAGGTAGTTTTTTGGACCGATTCAACAATCACACTACATTGGATCAAAACGCATCCGTCAACACTTTCAACATTCGTGGCGAACAGGGTTTCAGAGATACAAGAATGGTCAACTAATATAACATGGCGACACGTGCAGTCACAGCACAATCCTGCTGACATAGTATCCAGAGGATGTAACGTTACTGAACTAGTCAGTTCAATTTGGCAAACTGGGCCTGAATACCTGTCGCAAGATGTTGCCAAGTGGCCAATTAAAATAGCGCCAATAATCACTTCGGATCAAGAATCTCTGGAAACAAGGAAAACAAAAGCTGTGTTTATCGTATCGGAAGAACCCTCAAACGCAATTTTGAAGTTAGTCGGTACTCAGTCATCATACATGAAGCTCATGCGAATTGTTGCGTATATACTCCGATTCATAAATCGCGCTAGGAAATGTCAAAAAGAGATATCACTAATCCTAAGTGTCAAAGAATTAAATGGCGCTTTCTTAAAGGTCGTGGAACAGGTTCAAAAAAATGCATTTCAAGATGAGATATATGCACTGATGAAGAAACAGCTGTTAAAACCAGGCATGCAGAAACTTACTCCATTTCTGCACGATACAAATTGTGGCCCCAATAAAGTAACACTGTTACGTGTGGGAGGCCGGTTGCTCAATGCCCCAATTAGCCATGATTCCAAGTTTCCACTCCTCATGCCAAAAAATTGCCATTTTATTAATATCTACTTAAGGCATCTACATTTAAATAATTGTCATGCAGGTCCCAAGGCGTTAGGGTCAATTTTGCGGCAAAAGATATGGCTTGTTAACGCGAAAGCAGCTTGCAGTAAAACTGTAAGAAGTTGCACACATTGCTTTCGCTATAAACCGAAACTTCTGACTCAAATAATGGGAAATTTGCCAACTGATCGAGTCACAGCAACGCGTCCTTTTTTGATTTCAGGTGTTGATTTTTGTGGTCCCATGTATACAACATTAAAAATACGTGGTCGACCACCAGTTAAAACATACATTGCCGTTTTCGTTTGCTTCACGTCTAAGGCTGTACATTTTGAACTAGTCTCTAATTTATCTTCTAATTGTTTTATTCTTTGTCTTAAAAGGTTCGTGGGACGGAGAGGATTGCCAGATCGAATTTACTGCGACAACGCAACAAATTTCGTGGGAGCCTGCCGAGAGCTGAAAGAACTGCAACAAACGTTCAAAGTACAGAAAGACCAGCTGGTGTCATATGCTGCACAAGAGGGAATCGAGTTTGTCTTCATACCGCCTCGCGCACCACATTTCGGAGGATTGTGGGAAGCCGCCGTAAAGTCCGCGAAACATCTATTACTTCGAACAGCGGGCAGCGCAATGCTAACCAACGAGGAACTGCAAACATTGGTAATTCAGGTGGAAGCCGTTCTCAATTCAAGACCAATCGAACCTCTCAGCCAAGATCCAAACGACGGTCAAGCACTAACACCAGCACATCTACTAATAGGGGATTCTCTGCGCACGCTGCCGCAAGAATCAACGCTCGACGTGCAAAACAGCAATCTGAATTATGCGCAGAGATGGCGGCTGCTATGCGAGCTCAAACGCAGATTCTGGCGGGCCTGGTCCAAGGACTATATCCTCAACTTGCAAACAAAAACCAAATGGATCTTGGAACAGCCGAACGTAGCAGTCGGCCGTCTCGTCGTTGTCCACGAAGACAATCTTCCCCCTCACCAATGGTTGATCGGCAGGGTCCAAGGTACGGTAGTCGGGAGCGACGGCAGGGTACGAGTGGTAGACGTTAGAACAAAGAATGGAGTCATAAGAAGGCCAATTCACAAATTGGGGTTGCTTCCAACTTGAACACCTATGGTGCTTCAACGTGGCCGGTGTTAAGACATTTACAAACATATTTATTTTATTTAATTTATTTATTTTAACTTCATTTGAATTAATGTTAAATACTAATCTCTATTCACCACTTGCGCACTTCAACCGATAAAAAGCTCATCTCAAATTAACTATATGGCAACGCTTGCCTTTACTTCTTAATACGGTTGTGCAATGCACTTTTGCCTTTGGGTTTCTTTCTTTTTATTTTACTGGCAGACGAAGACGGTCGGTTCGGTGAAGTGCGCAAGTGGCAATTGAACTTAACAAATTAATTTTGAATAAAACATAAATAGTGAAATCATAGATCCCGTTTTTAATTTTTGAAATTATAAAAAATAACTTTAAAAACTATTAAAGTTTCA